TGTGAAACTGCCTGAGTCCCACTCACAATCACTCCTCTGTGACCCTGGGAGACACCTGGATTCAGGTCAAGGCTGACATAGCCTCTGGGCAAAGGTCTCTCAGCCCTTGGTGTTCTGGCATCGTGAATAGCTGCGGGGGTAGTGAACCTGCATGGTTCCTGCTCAGTGCCTGAATGCCTGTCCTGGGTTAAAACAAGCTTGCAGGTGGACCTGACCATGGTGGGCAGAAGGGTGGCACCTGTGAGTCCAGACTGTCTGACCAGCATCAGCTTGCACAGCTATAGCAGTGTGAGAGCAGTGGAGCTGAACCTGTCCTGGTAGTGTAGGTACAAGCACGGGGTACAACACACCAAACCCCACTTCAGCCATCCAAGTGTCCTCTGTCCAAGTTCTGCTACAAACCAATGTCTCACTGGTGAGAGGAGCAGGTTCACTGCATGGGCACCCAAGTGTGAGACAGGAGATGCTCTGGTAAATGCTCCCAGGGGCTCTGGAAGCACAAGGGAGGCGGGAAGAAGCCCACCACAGAGATCTACCGCTGATGAGCTCCACCAGACACTGTGGCAAGATTGAGGTCACTTCAAGTGATGTTCCCTCTTCACAAGACCCTTGGCACTGGGTCATGCCCCATTCATGGGCTTGATAAATAGAAAACCCCAGAGACTTCTTGCTTTTTTTTCCTAAAGGTTGTTTTATTGTAAAACCATAAATACAACACTGACATGAAAATCCTCAAGCAACGGATGCTTTCTTACAGTTACAGTTTGTCTTCTGCCTTGGCATCAACTCTGAAAAGAATGTTGCAGAAACATGTCTCTAAGAGATCTCCAAAGGACTGAGCTCTGGCCTGGAGCGCTCGGCCCGGTTGGAACCTAAGTGGAACTATTCCTTCTCTCTTGTGGAATATTCCCATTCAGACAGCAACAGACTTGTAAAAACAGCAACATTTAAACACCTTGATTTTGATTTTTTCCTTAAGAACCCTTTTCATTTGACGTCAGTCTAAGTTTCAAACAGCACTGAATTTATTGAGCTGTAAAAAAAAAAAAAAAAACCAAACCAAAACGAAACGAAACACAAATGAAACAAAATCCTACAAAGAAAAAAAACCCCAGAACTTGAGTTGGCCTCAAGCATTCATATATCACAATGAAATCAGCAACTCAACCCCGTGCAATATTGCTCTCTATTGAGTCATTTGATCCACACCAACAATACATGAGACTTCAAACAGGTTTTGTTTTGTTTATTAACACAGCAAGTGTGACATTAGATAACCTTTTAAATACAGTACATGGTACCGCGCAGGGCAGGGCCCCACGTTTCCCCTTTATGAAGACAAAGCCAGCGGTGGCGGTTTATAAAAATATTGTGTTGCTACAAA